AATGATTGCAACGCGTATAGATGTGATACACATAAATAATTATAATTAAGGAACAAATACTTATGAGTCATAAGTGGTACGATACCTTTTATAGAATAAGAAGGGAAAAATAAAGGATACAATAAATTTCACAATGACTAAATATTTCGAAACATTTCCATGTAAACAACATCAATAGCGTGGTTGTTTTTCCCCATCTTCATTTTGACGAAAGTGTTAGATGATTTTGTGATGAGGCCACGAAACTTCCTGTGCATTTTGATCAACAATTTCTGTACACAAAAAATACATATATCTTAAAAAATAATTAAGATAAACATATGATATGAATTTATTCATTTTATTTTTATCATTATACATATCATTACAATTAAAAAAAGGTATAATAAATATAAATATAATGAAGCCAACAATTTTATGACATTGTTTTTTTTGGATAAAACACAGCCTTTTCGTTATATTCAGCCCTTTTATTAAGAAAGTAAGTAAAATATACGCCATAATACAGAACTTTTAACGTTGTCCCTTACGGTCTTGCCCATACCTACGGCCTGTTTTAGGCATTTCCAAAAGACAGTTAAAAAATAAGAATGGGGTAAAGTCCATTAGGAGGAAAGTAGCACTAAATAATACTCCATCCGATCCTAAATAAACTTAACACTTTATTTTTTTGGGTAGGTCCAAAATAAACTTCATACTTCTTCTCTCTTCCATATTTGGCAAATTATCTACATCAAAACAGTGCAAAACAGTGTCAAACAGTGCCACACAGTGCCAAACAGTGTCACAACAATGTACTCAACAGTAAAGTCAAATTTATTTCCTTAATTTGTGTGAAGTCAAAGTGTGAAGTTTATTTAGGACCGGAGGGTGTATTTTTTTTATCTATAATATTTTAAAGAGTAACATTTACAAAATTATTTCATTATAAAATTCAAGTAAAGCAGACATTTATTAGATAGTCCAAAGCAAATTTCAGCTAGTAAAAACATCTAAGGGTATGTTTGGGAGTTCGGAGAGAAAGAGAGGGGTGAGAAAGTCTTTCTTTGTATTTGAGAGTAATAAATTTGGAAGAAAGGGAGTTTTTGAATGAATTATAATTAAAATCATTTTGAGATATGACGAATTTAAATAATTGAACTGATATTTATTTTTATTGAGCTTAAATTACCATTTCATTAAGGGAAAATTTCCGAAATAGGACTAAAACAATTTGAAAATTCCAAAATAGGACTGTCATGTTTTTATTCCCAAAATAGGGGGTAATATTCTCTTTCATGAATTATCCTTCAAAACAGTCCAAATTTGAAGAACTTAAAAATTGAAAATTTAGAGAGTTTTGGAGGGTTATTAAAACAAAAATGCTATAGGTACCCCACTTTTTACCCCATTTGCACCCCATATAAATAACCTAATTTTTTTCTCCCTCTTCCTCTGCGCCTAACCCTTCTCTCTCCTTTTCTCCGCGCCTAACTCATCCCTCTCAGATATCTCTCCTTTAAATTCATCTTCTTCTTCTGACCTCTTTTTTTCTCCTATTTCATTCTTCCTTCTTCCTTGTTTGCCCCTGTCTTCAAGAACTCCCTGTTCCTTCTTTGGTGTGAAGAATCCATAGCCCCACAAAAATGTGCAGTCGGATAGAACACAAATTGAAGAACGAGGCCTCTAGACCATATCGCTCATTCCAAATTTAAATATTATTTAAATTACTAGGAAAATATTGTATAACGAAATGTTGGAAATATTTCTTTGTAGTGTTTCAGTCCATTATGCCGCCTTGGTTACCTTATATATTGACCATGTCAATTAATTAAGTCAATACCTTCAAGTTCCCCAGAAGAAAATAACTCTTAGCTAGAAGTAGTTTGATTCAGTATGTCTCTTCCACATCATTTTCCTTAGGTATGCCTCTTTCTCCATTCTTTCCATTTTCTTCATTTTTTTGTTGTTTATCTTTTATTTCATGAATAATACTCTGTATATGTATATCTTTTAATGTTGAATGATTGATTATGTTGTGTTATTGTGAAAATTTGTGATATTTATTATTGAAATTTAGTCCAATTATACTATGTCATTTTATGCCCATAACATGTTTGTAGAAATTACTCAATGAATTTTTTGTTGAAATTCAAGACTTCTTTTTTAATTTTTTTGTACCTCAGTGTTTAATGAGTATTTTTATGGATTTCCAATTTAATATGATATGGTAATTTTTTCCAATTTAATATTTTTAAATTGTCTGTCATTTGTTTGTTAGTTGTATGTATTTGTTTCGAGTTGTCTGTAATGACTTGTCTATCATGTTGTTGTGATGAGTCTATAAGAGTTGTGAAGTTGTCTGTCGTTTTAAAAATAGATGTTTGTAATTCATATTTAGTTGTTTGTCAAAGTTTATGGTAAAGTAGATTGGTAAAGTTTATGACTCTATGTGTGCCTCAATAGCAAGCATGGTATTAAACTTAATATTTTTTTGCATTACATGTATTGTCCGTGTTAAGTGTTCTAAATGTTTGAGTATGCTTTATTTGTCTGTCTACATATCCGAATAATGTGACATCATGGTCAAATTATTTGCAGAGCAGCTATTACTAAGGAAGTTATTGATTCCTGACTATGAGTACGCCAACATGGCGCTTGAAGAAGGTTGAAGCATGAAGTGGGGCAAATGTGTGGATTTTGAACTTGTGTTTTTTTTGAATATGTATTTTTTTACAAACATTACAACGTCTCTCTGTGTATGTTGTTCTTTTGTCTGTCTGGGTATCCTCCGTATTGTCTATTTGTGTAAAGTTATTGTCTCTTTGCGTAAAAATAATGTCTGTCTGCTTATCTCTATTTCCCCAACACTCTATGCTTCAATTTAGAACTGCAGCGTCTGTCTAGCCAGACAAAATTTGTCTGTCCCCGACATTTGTAGTCTGGGGTATGTATTAGTTTTGTGTCTTACACCCAGACACAAGTTGTTTGGGCCAGAGTGCCAGACATTAGTAGTTTGGGCCAAGTAACAACTTTGCGAAGTACAACCAAACAAAATTTGTCTATCCCAGACATTTTGTAATCTGAGTGTATGTATTACGATCCGTCTTACAGCCAGACAAAATTTGTTTGTCCCAGACATTTTGTAATCTGAGTGTATGTATTACTTTTCGTCTTACAGCCAGACAAAATTTGTCTGTCTCAGACATTTTGTAATCTGAGTGTATGTATTACTTTCCGTCTTACAGCCAGACAAAAGTTGCCTGGGCCAGACATTGGTAGTTTGGGCCAAGTAACAACTTTTGGAGTACAGCCAGACAAAATTTGTCTATCCCTGACATTTGTAGTCTGGGTGTATGTATTATTTTCCATCTTACAGCCAGACAAAAGTTGTCTGGGCCAGACATTAGTAGTCTGGACCAAGTAACTACTTTCTGGAGTTCAACCAGACAAAATTTGTCTGGCCCAAACATTTCTTGTCTACCTCACATATGTTCTTTGTACTACACATGTGCTCTGAATAATAATATGAAAGAGTAAATATCTTTTTGACATCATTGTCATCTGATATGATATAAATACCAACTAACAATTAAAGATACGAGAGTAATAAACAAAAATGGGAATTTATCCTCCTAAGTTTACTCTTTGTCTGTGTCAATACAATAGTTGTCTGCATGAGTAAAATTGCCTTCCTAAACATATTTAGAAACAATAATTAGATGTAAATACATGATATACATTAGTTCACATATAATTAGGTTCCAATCTTTATTTCAGCATTTTCTTTGCTAGAGGCTTCTTCACTGGAGGTTTTTTCACTCGGGTCTTCGTGAGTGTGCTTCTAACCATCATAGCACTAGCAGAGCTACAACAAAAAAGTAAAATATCAATGTATTATAACTTTGCCACAAAAATCAGAGAATAACTTTCTATTTTCCATGACTCTAAAAGAATGCTTTTCCAATTTTGGGCATATTTCGACCTTAATAGTTCAACTCAAGTGAAGCAAGGGACTTGGATGGAAGAACAACTGACATTATCCGTGTATCTCAAATTTTTTAAAAAATCACATCAAGCAAAATGAATATGAGTTTCTATAAAGTCATTGAATCATTTTGACAAACATCTTATGAGCATAAAAGTGAAATAGAATAGTTGAATTACAATTTTAAAAATAAAACATCACAATCGATACCAATATAACAATATAAAAGTGGAATAGAATACACTTTAGAGGCATCTATTCAAGAAAAAATAAAACATCAATTCAGGAAAAAATAAAATTATTGAAACTCTAATTCGTATTAACAGAAAAGGAGAAAATTCTCATTTTTCCCCAAAAAGTCATAGATATTAAAAACCCTAAAATTAGAAATTGGGTAAAGAAGAAAGGGATAGAGGAGCATATAGAAGGGAGTTACGGATGGGAGTATACCATCTTTATCATTGTTGTCTGTATCAGTTCTAGCTACAACAATGTCGTTCGTTCTTTAATTTGTGTGCTATCCGACTGCACATTTTTGTGGGGCTATGGATTCTTCACATCAAAGAAGAAGGAAGAGGGGGTACCTGAAGACAGGGGCATAAAAGGTTAGGCGCAAAAAAGGAAGAATGAAATAGGAGAAAAAAAGAGGCGAGAAGAAAAAGATGAATTAGACGCAGAGATATCTGAGAGGGATGAGTTAGTCGCAGAGAAAAGGAGAAAAAGGAGAGAGAAGGGTTGGGCCCAGAGGAAGAGGGAGAAAAAAATTGGACTATTTATACGGGGTGCAAATGGGGTAAAAAACGGGATACCTATAGCATTTTTGTTATTAAAACCTTCCGAAACATCCTCTCGGATTTTATAAATTCTCCTGAACATGTTATAAATCCTCATCGACCTTTGTCTTCCCATCCAAATTCCCATCCAACTCCCAACTCCCAAACTCCAATTCCGTAATTTTGCACCTTTTCCCTCTTTTTTTTTTTGCTTTAGCCGGTTCCCTCCCAAAGCAGCCGGCCCCACACCTCATTATCTGCGAAGAACCAGAAGGCAGATGTAAGAAGTCAGAAGCCGTTCGCGAAGAAGTCGAGCAGCTTCATTACAGAACCTCCAAATCCAAGGTTTTTTAATTCTTTTAGGGATGTGTGGTTGTGAATTTTGAGATATTATCCGTTTTATCAATTATGGATGAGTGAATAGGTGTGGTAATTTTGCTATTAGAGTTAATCTCATTGGATAATGGTTGATAACATTCTATTACGGAATAAATTGTGAATATGTTAGGTAGGTATTTTGATTAGAGTAGCATCTGGATTCTGCTCTGCCCTACTTTCTTTATTTCTGGCTACTATCAATTGGGTTTTACTTTTATTGGACATTTTATATCCTTAATTCCTTATATATGTTTACGTTTAGCCCATATCTTAACTTGGACTGTTTTTAGGATGACAAATTATTATGACGTTGATGATATCTTAGCTGAAGAAGAGGTCAGATTATCCATTTCTTGAATTGCATTACGAATCCAAATTTTGTGGAAATCAATACTCTTCTTTTAATTAAATAAATTTTGTGATTTTTCTTTTTCTTTTCATGTCTTGATTTCAGCTGGTTCCAGCTGTATTCCAGAAGACTGCTAATGGAGTCGGGATATTTGATTGCTGTGATGATACAAATAAGGTTATGACTGGATTATTTGAAAAAGGCTTTTTATAAGTATGAGGGCCTTGAGGGGCTTTAACTGCAAAATCAAAAGCTGATAAGGGTACTTCAAACTTTAAGGTGGGAGCCGGTACTGAAGTGGAAATGCCTTTCTGGCTTGCATGTGACCTATATGTTAAACAAGCAGTGAAGATCAAAGTTCCGTCATGTTTTGACACCAAGTAAAGTTTGCATGCTCCCTCTTTGTTTTATCTATGCTGATAATAATGACATTGCATGATTTTAGAAATAGAAATTATAAAAGATATGGCAATTGGCAATTGTGTTTGTATAGAGTGAGGAGGCGCTGCCCCTTAACTTTGCCCACCCACAATGTATTGATTGATCAACATGATGCATATATGCATCCATACCAAGAGGGTTCCGATATACTCTTCATTTGGCAACATTGCAATACCATATTTCAAAAAAGCTAACAGTAGCATATTTAAACACTTAACTAAAAGTATGGACTATGGAGTATGGACTATGGAGCTAGTGACATAAATTATGTTAAGATATGGGCTATGGAGCCAGGGAGCTACAGTGCTCACCTTTGGGCCCAATATATTCTTCATTTTGCTACCCTGTCACTCTGAATGACCCCCATGACAAATTCCAGAAATCTACTATATTTAAGTTTTTACTTGTCCACATCATTTATTTCTCAATCTGCTATACTGTTCAACTAAAATCTAGAGCTACTTGAAGTGTTCTAAAATTGCAAAACATTTACTCGGTAATTAAGAGGTCAACCAAGCTAAAATCCAGTTTAATAAGTTTTGTCTTGAACTCTTGATTCATCCCTTGTAGGTGCCTCTGAACTAGGTCTTGTTAAGTGTAGCAAAGGAAGTGGATTTTTACCTTAACCCTTGCTATACTTGATCTGAACACTTAACAAGAACTGAGATCAAACATTAAGTTTGCACCATACTCTTCTTTAGTAGAGGCTCAGTACAAATTAATGTATAATGTCCTCATTTTTGGTTAATATGACCTTCATTTATGCTATGTTAAATATCTCACTGTTCGGGGTTGTCAAAATTTTTATTAGAGAAATGCTAAAGGTACCCCAAAATGGGGTACCCCGTCCTTACCCCGGCCTAATGTGTGGCCATAAATGGGGCAACACATTTAAGTGGTGCCCCACTTAAATGTGTTGCCCCATTTATGGCCACACATTAGGTAGGGGTAAGAACGGGGTACCCCATTTTGGAGTACCTTTAGCATTTCTCTTTTTATTAATAGGCTGTAGGCCTAAAACTGATTTCAAAAATTCAATTCCTTCTGAACTTTTACATGTGAATATTATTGTAATCTATTCACTAGAGAGAGACCAAGAGATAGACACCGTGATGAACCAATAAGAAAAAGGGACAGAACAAAAGATGAAATTGGAGCTGATGCTGCACATGTAGATCTGAGAGGTCGATGCCCATATTTTTACGAATTCGGATGCAAGATAGCAAGACTGTGAGTTACTTATATCTTTCTTCATTATATGGTGCATCAAGTAAGGGGTGGACTTGGGCTGGTTCCTGTTCTGGAACTGCAGTTTTCTGGATCATGTTTATGAGAGAGCCTTAACGGGAACTGCTTTGTGCCGATAGGGTCTATTTGCAATTCCTTATCCAATTCCGCGGTTCCAGATCGGAATTATAGGTCATTAGCTTTTAAAAAAGTACCTTTGGGGAACCGATACCGGAACCACCTGTCCTTCTATCATCATTAAACCCGTAACAGGAACCTATATTACATCAGTCTGGTTCTGGTTCTTGCTTCTCCGGCTCTGGTCTGGTTCCAGATCCACAGGTTCCGGCAATTCTTTTACCAAATGCACATATATATATAATTATAATCAACTTGGTGGTTTTGAATAATGTTGGCATTTTGACACAAATTACTCAAATCAGTAGTGTAGAATCTAAAGTACAAAGTATCTCATACTTATTATGTTTCATGTATGACAGTTCTTTGTAACTCTGAGCGTGCTAATTTGTTATTTGGTACTATGTTGAATATGATTGCCATTTTTTGCTTGCGACCTCATTAAAGCTCAACAGCTGTTGCTGTGCTATGTTTTTGGGTTCTTAATAGACATTGTCCTCTAGTACATAAAGATTGACACTTAAGGTAAAATGGAATAGCATTTATTGTGCAGCAATATGGTTAAGAAATAGCATTGATTGTGCAGCAATATGGTTAAGAATAGTTTGCTTCTGTATATATGGTGCTTCATATTCAATTGTGGAGGTATGCAAATTGTGTTAAGCTGTTAGTATGTTATACTCCCTCCGTCCCAATTTGATTTGCAAAATTTCCTTTTTTGGTTGTCCCAATATGGTTTTCCACTTTCTATTTTTGGTATGTAAATAAGAATAAAGTGACAAATTTACCCTTACTTTTACTTTTTCCCATTAACTTAAAGGCATCTACTTTTAGAAAGATGGGCAAAAGTGTAAAAAACAAACTTCATTTATTGTCATTTCTTAATCCTCGTGCCGGTCAAAGTTTGCAATTCAATTCGGGACGGAGGGAGTAGTGTTCTCAACATTGAGTTACTTGAGTTATTGGTAATTCAATAAAGTTACACCAAGAATGACAAGAACTGGGAAGTGGGCACACCCATGGTATATGGAGGTTTTTTATTCATGCAATGTAAAAATGGAGAGTCTTAGGCATCTTCTAATTCCTAACTTTTGTTTTCTTCCAAAATATCGGCATCACCCAATTCCCAAGAAGTCTCTTATTCCCTGATAATAAGATGCCATTCCAAATGAGAAATGGTTGAAATGCTAGTTTGGGTATTAAGTCATCTAGTTTTGGAGAGACAAAACATAAGCATTAAATTACCATTATACAATCAAGTTAAATTATAATAGTTCAATTGCCAAATACCATATAATGATACGCATAATTATAAGTTCAGAAAGTCTCAAACACATGATATGATCACTCATGGGGTTATGGAGCTGAGATGGATACTGAAAGGCCGTCCATGCCCAGGATTATGAAACCGGTACAAATACTGGAAGGCCTTTCAGACGCAGGCCCGAGACTGAAATGACCAGAACAAGACATGAATTGACAAAGCAGGGCTTGATACGGCTAGCCCAGGACTTGAATGGATGGAGCCAGGGCGTGAGACCTGGACGTACAAAGCCAAGATGGGAGACTTGACCGACCTCACCAGGAAGACCCCTATTCTGAGTAGACAGGGAAGACCTTGGGCGCTGACCTCACGGGATCGGTCCGGGATTGCCGACCAGACATGGAAGACCCTGCCTGCCAACCTCATGGGATTGGCCTGGGACTGCCAACCTCATGAGATTGGCATGGTACTGCCAACTACATTGGGAAGACACCGGGGTTCAAATTATAATCACATAGTTCGTGGAACGCTTTGGTATGTGAATGAGGACTAGGAACGTGGTTCACTAGGTCTAGCATATGCGGTCCAGAGGAGGGTAGGTTCATCTCGGTATGCGTTCGGTATGATGTACCTGATGTTCGGTACGTTGTACCTTATGTTTTGGTACTATAGTAAAAGACATAAAACAGAAGTACATATTTCATAACATCAAACAAAAACAGATTCCATAACATGATTTCATAGCATTAAACAAAAACAGATTTCATAACATGATTTCATAACATTAAACAAAATCAGAAACATTAATATTCTAGAAACATTTGACTCAAAACTGAAAAACGGGATCAGAAACATTAATTGAATCAGAAAATTTTTTGTGTGATCGGTTGTAATCGACATGAATAGCAATTGCGATCGAAGGATAGCGATTGCGATCGCAATGAACAGTGAATGGGAATGAGTTGGGAGTGTACTATCTGGCGATCCAGGTAGTGTCTGGAACGCTTTCGTACCGCAATTGGGTACGTAGCCTTCGGTTCACAGATCGTGGCCTCTTATGTTTCTAACTACAAAATAATTAGAAATGTGGTTTGTTTGAGGGTTTGCTGCAAACTATGAATTCCACGTATCTTTTATTGAAATGTATATATGCCAACTATAAACTATGGTGTTCACTTCTCATATTCCTTTGTATTATAATCAATGATTTTTTAAAACGTGCAATAAGGCCTACTCATAAACCTTGTGTAAATAAAAGTATACTCCACAAAGGTGTGATATAAGGCCAATATAAAATGTGCTTAAATGTGTAGTCTTAAATATAAACATGCATGTTTCAGTTAAAGTTTAATTTTATGAGTCTTTGCAAAGAAAGTAAAATGATTATATAATACAGTTAGCATGATTACTTATCTCCAGTTTTGTTTTTGACATAAGTAATTAAAATATTGGTATTATATCCCGGAGGTTTTAAGTTGTGGTATTCGGGAAGAGATAAGACTAGAAATGGGGTAGACATTATTGTAGCGCGTGACTATGTTGAGGATGTGGTAGAAGTTTTCAAGAAGAACGATCGCATCATGAACATTAAATTGGTGATAAGGGGTGCGATTGTGTCTGTGGTAAGTGCCTATGCAGCACAAGTGGGATTGGATGCATCTACAACTCAACAGTTCTCGGAAGATCTTGAAGACGTGGTGCGACGAGTGCCAAGGGGAGAGAAGTTGATCATAGGAGGTGACCTCAACGGGCATGTGGGCTCGAGTCGTGATGGCTTTGAGAGTATTCATGTTGGACATGGTTTTGGCACTAGGAATGAGGCGAGAAAGAACATTTTAGATTTTGCCTTGACGTATGAGTTGGCTATAATGAACACTTGGTTTAAGAAAAGAGACTCTCACCTTGTAACCTATAAAAGTGGAGCTAATAGTACCCAAATTGACTACTTCTTAGTACGGACCACTTGGAGAACTAGCTACACTGATTGTAAGGTTATTCCAGGTGAGAGTGTTGTCACTCAGCATAGGATGCTTGTGCTTGACTTTCGAGGTAAGTGAAGTTTTCTGAATATTATTTCCTTGAATTCATTTACAAGAAGTACATAAGCTATTTATACATATAGGAATCCTGAGAGAGTCTATTCAGCACCCTAGGTGACTGTCTAAATACTAAACATAAATGATTGAGCACTGAAAAGACAACAGCTATTAAATACAACCTGAAGCACTAAAGACACATAATTACAGTAATAATAAGGAAAATAAATCCTAGATTAATGATGTCTCTTCGTTTTATCAACACTCCCCCTCAAGCTAGGTTTGTAGATATCCGTCATGCCTAGCTTGACAATAAGACCCTGGAACCTAGGACTGTGCAGAGGTTTGGTAAACACATCTGCAACTTGATCTTCTGAGGGAGTGTAACTTAGTTCGATCAGACCTCCTTCAACCTTTTCTTTGATAAAGTGCCTATCAATCTCAATATGCTTGGTCCGATCATGTTGGACTGGATTATGAGCTATGTTGATTGCTGATTTGTTATCACACCTCAATTCCATTGGTCCTTTCCACTTGATTCGTAAATCTAAGAGAATAATTCTGATCCATAGAAGTTCACATAAGCCATGGGCAAGAGCTCTTAGCTCAGATTCAGCAGATGATCGTGCCACAACATTCTGTTTTTTGCTTCTCCATGTCACGAGGTTTCCTGCTAGGAAAACACAGAGACCAGTGGTTGACCGACGGTCAACGTGGGAGCCACCATAATCTGCATCAGTGAAGGCTTGGACTGATAATTGCCCACCCTTCCTGAATATTATCCCTTGCCCTGGACTTCCTTTTAGGTAGTGAAGAACCCTATAGGCTGCTTCTAGATGTGGTTTCCTTGGATCATGCATGAACTGATCCACTTGTGATAGTATAGGTGGAGAGAGGTGAAGGATGTGGAGTATCTTGGGATACAGGGAGAGAAGTAGGAGTGTAAAAAGGTGTGTCTTCGTGAAAGGTCACATCTGCACTGGTGTATGTCTTTCTGGTTGTAGGATTATAGCACTTATATCCTTTCTGAGTTGGAGAATAACCAAGAAAGATACACTTAATAGATCGTGGGTCCAATTTTCCCCTTTGAGGTGGAGGAATATGAACAAATGCAGTACACCCAAACACCCTTAGATCAAGATCAGAAGAAATTCTGGTTTGAGGAAAGAAGTGACGGAGAGATTCAAGGGGTGACTTATTTTGGAGTACCCGACTGGGAATTTTATTGATGAGATGACATGCTGTGAGTGTGGCTTCCCCCCAATAGTGTTTAGGCATATTTGATTGAAACAATAAAGCCCGACTGACGTCTAGGAGATGGCGATTTTTTCTTTCTGCTGTGCCATTCTGTTTTGGTGTGTACGGACAAGAGGACTCATGAACAATGCCTTTTGAGAGGAAATAAGAGGAAACAGTTTGATTGAAGTATTCAAGAGCATTATCAGTGCGGAAGCGTTTTATTGTGGCGGAGAACTGATTATGAATCATATTGCAAAAGATAGGAATGATGGAACTCACCTCACTCTTGTTTTTTAGCAGAAAAACCCACATAAAACGTGTACAATCATCAATAAATGTAACATACCACCGGACACCAGATATATTAGCAATTGGAGCAGGACCCCAGACATCACTATGTATAATATCAAAAGGGAACAACTGATTGTATTACTTCTAGAAAAAGATACACGAGACTGTTTAGCAAGTTCACAGACATCACATTGAAATGTAGAAACATCAATACTACTAAAAAGACTAGGAAACATGGTTTTTAGGACATGAAAAGAGGGATGACCAAGACGCTTGTGGTGAAGCCAAATAGTGTTGGTATTGGCTGTGATTGTGGTAAGAGCTTTTTGTGGAGGTTTGGAGACAAACAATGCATCAAGGTAGTACAGGCCATCTCTTTGTTTAGCAATTCCAATCGTCCTCCCCGTGTGTAGATCCTGTAATAAACAGTGGGGAGGGAAAAAAATGGCAGCACAATTAAGATCAACTGTGAGTTTGTAAATAGAAGCAAGGTTCATAGCCAGGTTTGGGACATGTAGGGTGTTTTTCAGATTTAATTTTTCAGAAAAAACAACCGTACCAAGTCCCGCAACCTTTGTAGGTGTCCCATCAGCGGTAGTAATGTGT